TCCAGGTGCCGGGAGGCCTCTCAGGGCTCCCAGGGTGGAGCAGGCATCCCCAGGCCTGGTGAGGCCACAGGGCAGGCACACAACCGACCACAGCAGCACTGGGACCCTGACATGGGCAAGACAGCCCCTGCCAAGCAGACCAGGCCGCTGATGTGTGAGGCAGCGTGCCCAGCTGGGAGCGCCCCCTGACTCCCATGCTCACACCCCCAGGGCAGCGGCTGTGTGTGAAGGCATGCCCTGGGCCCCCACCACACCTCCCCACCCACTGTGCCCACTAGTCTGAGTCCTGTGTTTAAACTGGCCTTGGTCAGATGGACAGTGGGCAGAGAGCAAGGCCACAGCCGGGCTGGCTGACATGCCACCTGGGGCAGCACAGCCGTCCCCGCACCCCACAGCGGGAAGCTGCGGCCCTCTGCCTGGTGTGCCCCGGGATGTTGTTGGTTTAACCCGCAAGCACGCCGACTGTAGGCCAGACCGGGGCGCTGCCTGTGGTCGAGACGAGGGAGACACAGACTCTGAAAACGCCTCCAATCACCACCCTCCACCTGTGTCGCCCCCTGCCTGGATGGACGTGGTGGTGGTGGCCACGAGGCCACCGCAGCAGGGACCCCTTCCCACGCCGAAGCCAGCAGTGCTGGCCCAGTGCCAGGTGTTTGATGAAGCTCTCGGGTAACCGAATTACCAAAGACATGGCTGTGAACTTGCCGGAGGATGCCCCAGGCGAGTGGGGATTGCACCTGCTTCCGGCAGCATCTCCTGCTGAGATCCACATGGCCGTGTCAGCGTCACGGCGACTGAGAGCCCCTCTGGACCGCGCCCTGCACACGGTCCCGGCGGCTAACACACATCACCAAGGGAAACCCAGTGCCGGTCCTGGGAGGGCTTGGGCGCCCCGGATTTCTGGCTCGCGACCAGGGTCCAGGTTATTCTGCGTAACTCGACGACACCCCAGGAACAGAGGGCACGGAGGGTCAGAGCCCCTCACAGCCCTCACTCTCACAGCACCCAAGTGCTGGGCGCTGCACTGGGAGCTGGCACGACACAGCCAGAAGGCAGCTCCCGGGGACAGGACACCCCTCCTCCAGGGTCTGTTCCTCCCAGGGAGCTCCGGGCTGGGGTGGCCTTGTTCAAGAGGCACAGAGCAAACAAACAGCTCCCCCGGGAACACCCAGACCTCCCATGTCGGGGCAGGGACCAAGCACCTGAGCCCTCACAGGCGGCCGCCCAGGTCCGCACCAGCTGACGCTGGGCCAAGGTGCAAAGCCAGGAATCGAGCCCGGGCCCTCTACTGTGGGGCACAGCTCACCCTGCTGTTTCAACGCCCACCCCAGGGTGACCTGTCTCAGGACACCACCTCAGCTGCCCCTTTGCAATCGTTAGAACTGCGCGCTGCCCAACCTGAGCGAGCATGTCCCACCATTGGCGGCATGGACCAGCTATGCCCTGGAGCCGACACGTCACCAAGCATCGGCTGGCAGCCCAAATGCACGGAGGATTCAACATTCCACTTCCCGAGGGCTCCAAAGGCGGGAGTGGCCGCGGTGGGTCCTACGCAGAGAGAGCAGCCTCTGCCAGGTGGTATGTGGCACAGGCGCTCGCTTCGGCAGCACATCCACTGAAACTGGAACCATGAGGCAGGGGAGTTTCTAAGAGGTTAGATGCGGTGGGAGCAGCTGCTATTATGTTATATACGGTGGTTCCACTGGGGAGCTTTTATTAGGTTATGTACAGCAGAGGTAGAGGGGTTTTTTTGGTTTTTGTTTTGTCTTTAGATAAAGGAGAGCTGCTATCGGGTTCTCAGGTGGGAACACCAACCTCGGGGCTGTAAGAGTGCAAGAGGGCTGGGGAGACGCCCACGGGGTGAGCCAGCGCCCTCCCGACATGAACAAACCTCGGGGGACCCACTGTTCCCTTCAATCTTCTCCGGTCTGGGCTTTGCTGGAACCTTCTCAGGGCTCACTGGAACAGTGGCACCCCACAGTGCAAGCCCAGGCTGGTCTCTGCTTCCACGTGTTCACCCCCCAGGCCCCCAGCAAGCCATGCCCTTTCACGCTCTGTTCCGACTGGGGCACGCAGCTATACGCCCTCCAAGAACCTTCTAGTTTGTTCAGCACCCCCCGAGAACTACAAACCTCTCCACTGAGAAGCAGAGAGCTGACACCCCAACATCCGGGCACGCACGAGAGGTGACCGCAGCTCTCCATGTCAGGAGGTCACGTGGTCCCCCGGAGGTCACGTGGTCCCCCGGAGGTCACATGGCCCCCAGGAGGTCACAGGGTCCCCAGGCTGGCTGAGAGGTGGGGGACCAGAGTCTAGAGTGGGGCGGGCCCCTGCGGAAGCTGGACGGGCCCAGGGAGGGTCCTCCGGCCAGGGTGGAGTCTGACAGCAGAAGCAGATGAAGGCGGATCAGGTGCAGCCGGGGGCACCTGCTGGGAACAGGGACGGAGGAGGACATGGAGGCCCCGTCCTGGGCCACGGTGTCCGCTCGATCCCTCCCAGGGGCAGAGGAGCCAGGTCCCAGGGCCTGGATGTCCACGCCGCCTCGCCAGCCGACCTGGAACTTGACCCAGACACAGGAGCGACGGCCGTGACACACCAAGACACATGCTGTGTTCTCAGTCCTGGTCCCCCCGCCTGGTCCTCCCAGGCTCTGGAAAGCCATGCACACGGGAGGGCGTGGGCAGCAGGCTTGCGCGCACACGCACACACACACACACACACACACACACACAGCTCAACACTGTCTCCTGATCCCACTCCGCAGGGGCTTCCTGCGGGACCCACGCAGCAACGGAACCATGGAGCCAGGAGAGCACCCAGAACCGAGCTCCCGTCTCCTCCTTACGCTGCTGCCCTGGGGCTGGCGCAGGGCCACCACGCTGGATGCCTCCCCGCGGGCAGCTGCCCTGCCACGGGTGCAGAACCCTCGCCTACCCACCCCTGAATGACTGAGCGCAGGAGCTAGGTCAGACCACGGAGGCAGGCAGACCCAGGGCCGGTCTCCCGCCGTCCTCTTCCCGCTGGGCGCCAGAAAACGCAAAGCTGCAAGCCAGCCCAGATGGAGGGGCGGGTGACCCTGCAGGAAGGCCACACTCCGCCAGGCCTGGCGTCCACAACCCGTCCTGCAGTGAGCACCCAGCTCCGCCCACAGCAGACAGCCGCCAGGCCTTCCCGCCTTCCCACCAAGGCACGGAAAGCTCAGGATCTTTGATTCTGGCCACGCTCTCCCTCCTGGCACATTCGGTGCAGTGCATAAGGACGGCTGTGGCATCTGGGGTCACTCGGGCCTGCGCCCTTCCTCACTGCCCCTGCCAAGCCAGGGACTCAGGCCGTGCGCCCAACCTGGTCCTGCCCCGTGGAGCCACGTGGCCACATGGACAGCACACCAGCCATGGCCACCAGTCACCCGATCACCAGCTCCAAAAGAGACGAGCACCAGGACCCTGGCCACAGCGTCCCACCTGAGTGTTAAAACATTGCTTCCAGCTACAAACAACTTCGCCCTACAGAGTCTGCTGCCTGGTGACGGGGTCACAAGCACAGATGCCTCCCAGCTGCCAGCGGGGCCGCCCAGCCGCCCAGGAGGGAGGCACGCCCAGGGTGGCCCAGGGAATTGGGAGGAGAGCGGACGGGCCAGGCACAGGGCGCCCCGGGGTGCCTCTGTGTGTTCAGGTACGTGGCTGGTGTAGGGGCTGAGCACAGAGAGAGGGACTGGTGCGGCTGCCAGCTGGTCAGCGTTACATGGCCATCCTGCAGGTGGGCAATGCCACGGAACAAAACATCTGAACGTGCAGTGTTGCCTGTATTTGATTACTTAAAAAAAACAGCTTGGGGGCCCGGCGCGGTGGCGCAAGTGGTTAAAGGTCCTCACCTTGCCGCCCGGGATCCCATATGGGCGCCGGTTCTAATCCCGGCAGCCCCGCTTCCCTTCCAGCTCCCTGCCTGTGGCCTGGGAAAGCAGCAGAGGACGGCCCAAAGCTTTGGGAACCTGCACCCGCGTGGGAGACCCGGAAGAGGCTCCTGGCTTCGGATCGGCATAGCATCGGCCCGTTGCGCTCACTTGGGGAGTGAATCATCGGACGGAAGATCTTCCTCTCTGTCTCTCCTCTCTGTATATCCGCCTTTCCAATGAAAAAATAATAAAAATAAATCTTTAAAAAAAAAAAAAAAAAAAAACAGCTTGGGACCCGGGCCTGTGGGGCTCAGCACGGAACCCACAGCCAAGCTCACAGGCTGTGGTTATTAAGTGCAGCGGGGCCACTGACAGCCACGAACCCCCTCCCCAGGAGAGGTGCTGGAAGCTGCCCTGCTCGGTGGACAGCCAAAGGAGCCAGCACTTCCAGCAGCCACCTTGCCCCCACACCCTGACAGGGGACAAGCAGCCTAGACAGGCACCTGGCAGGTCGGCGGCTCCAGCACTGAGCCAGGAGGGGAATTTGTGCACCACGCTCACATCCACTGCCACGGGGCTTGCCGCGATGCTGCCCCACAGCCACGGGGCTCGCCGCGACGCCGCCCCACAGCCACGGGGCTCGCCGCGACGCCGCCCCACAGCCACCGCCACGGGGCTCGCCGCGACGCCGCCCCACAGCCACCACCCCCGGGCTCATTGTGATGCTGCCCCATGGCCACCACCCCTGGGCTCGCTGCAAAATCATCCCACGGCCACCACCGCTGGGCTCGCCACAATGTCCCATGGCCTCCACCCCCGGGCTCGCTGTGACGTTCCCCCACGGCCACCACCACGGGGCTTGCTGCGACGCCGCCCCACGGCCACGGGGCTCGCCGTGATACCGCCCCACGGCCACCACCACCACCACGGGGCTCGCTGTGACGCCGCCCCACGGCCACCACCATGGGGCTCCCCGCGACGCCACCCCACGGCCACCACCCCTGGGCTCGCTGTGACGCTCCCCCACGGCCACCACCCCTGGGCTTGCTGCAACATCATCCCACGGCCACCACCCCTGGGCTCGCCACAATGTCCCACTTGCTCTTACCTGAAATGGCGTCTGGCTGTTGTAGTTTTTCAACTCCTTGTTTCCCCCTCGAAACAGCAGCACTCTGGCACAGCTGTCCTGCACAGCAAGAAGAGGAAGGCCCACGAGTGAATTGGGCAGCGTAGACCCGGCCCACGTGAGCCGCTCCGAGGCCCCCACTCCTGGGCCGTGGTGCACGAGAGACCACCAAGCTGGGGGGAGGAGCGTGTTCCCTCCCCAGAGAGGCAAGGAGCGGGTGAACCAGGATCAGCTGAAAATGGCCCAATCTGTAGAAATGCAAGATCCACTGAAGCACAGTGGGTTACGCTTCAGCCTGCCGTGCCAGCATCCCACGAGGGCGCTGGTTTGAGGTCCACTCCATGCTGATGCACTAGGAAAGGGCCTGGACCCTGCACCCACACGGGTGATTTGGGAAGAGGCTCCAGGCTCCTGGCTTCAGATCAGCTCAGCTTGAGTCACTGCGGCCCATGTGGGGAGTGAGCCAGTGGATGGAGCATCTTCCTCTCTCCTCCTCTCCAACTCAAATAACTAAAGCGTAAATAAATAAAGCATAAATCTTAAAGAAATATGATCCAAGATTCCATTTCTAAGATTTATTTAAAAGGCAAAGAGTTGGAAGACACCGAGCTACCGGCCACCCCCGGCTCACCCCGCTGCTGGCCACGAAGGCTGCGGCCGGGCCTGGCTGGCAGCTGCAGCCCGGGATGAGGACAGCACCCAGAAATCTGCACATGTTTAAAACATTTGACATGTGGAAACCACACGCAAAACATAGAAAAATGGATGAGGAAAGATGCAGGCATGGCATGTGGGGCAGTATTCTAGAACATTCTTCACCCAGCCAATTGTAGATGGACACAACATAACGAGAAACTCGTCCCAGTAGGACAGGCACTTTCAAGCCAGGGGGAGCGCTCCCAGGGGCGTCTGAGAGAAGGGGCCGGTGCGGCTCAGGGGCCCACTGCCCAGGAAGGAGGCAGACGAGGGTGAGGAAGGAGAGGCCTTCCTCGGCCTAGGGCAGGTGGCCCAACGCCCGTGAGCGGGGAGGGGGCGTCACTGCAGGGCTGAGGGACCACATACATGGACACACCCCAGCCTGCGTCCTCTATAATCATTGCCGTTGGGTCCTATTTTGTGTCCACCCAAGAGCCCGCGTTAGGGACAGAACCCCAGGCTGCAGCACACAGCTTGCAGTGCAGAGAAAGGAGGAGGACGGAGAAGGGCAGGGAGGGTGGGGAGAAGGGCAGGAAGAGCCCTCAGGCGGTCCTGGGGACCAAAGTGATGAGCCTTGACCACAGGTGGCAACAGGTGGACACAGAAGGCCAATTATGGTGGCCAGGACCAAGGCCAGAGCAGGTGGGCCTTAGCATGGACTGCCAGTGCAACCAGAGGCAAGGCCGAGGCTGGCAGGATGCTTCCTGGGGGCCATGTAGCACCAGTGCCACCCCTGACCTGTGCCCTTGGGGTCATGCCCACCAGGCTGACATGTCGCAGGCCACCTCCCCCACCAGAACCAGCCCGTAGGGAGGCCCCAGCCCACAGCAGGGCGTGTGGGTCACAGAGTGCCAGCCCCTACTTTCAGAGCCTGCTGCCCACCATGGGGCACCTGGGTGGAGGATCCAGTGTCCAGGCCCCTGCTGCCCGCCGCATGAAAGACCTGGCTGGGGCTCCTGGCTTCGGCCTGGCCCAGCCCTGGCTGCGGGGTGTGCCCGGGGGGACGGGGGGCCAGGGCATGAGAGATCTCTGTCGGCACCTCCACGCTCCTGAGGGTCCGTCAGGAGTGCGGGGATGGACGGTGGGGACAAGGCCAGGGTGTGGCGGGGATGGACGGTGGGGACAGGGACAGGGTGTGGCGGGGATGGACGGTGGGGCCAGGGACAGGGTGTGGCGGGGATGGACGGTGGGGACAGGGACAGGGTGTGGCGGGGATGGACGGTGGGGACAAGGCCAGGGTGTGGCTGGGATGGACGGTGGGGACAGGGACAGGGTGTGGCTGGGATGGACGGTGGGGACAGGGCCAGGGTGTGGTTGGGATGGACGGTGGGGACAGGGACAGGGTGTGGCTGGGATGGACGGTGGGGACAAGGCCAGGGTGTGGCGGGGATGGACGGTGGGGACAAGGCCAGGGTGTGGCTGGGATGGACGGTGGGGACAGGGACAGGGTGTGGCGGGGATGGACGGTGGGGACAGGGTGTGGCGGGGATGGACGGTGGGGACAAGGCCAGGGTGTGGCGGGGATGGACGGTGGGGATAGGGACAGGGTGTGGCGGGGATGGACGGTGGGGACAGGGACAGGGTGTGGCTGGGATGGACGGTGGGGACAAGGCCAGGGTGTGGCTGGGATGGACGGTGGGGACAGGGACAGGGTGTGGCTGGGATGGACGGTGGGGACAGGGACAGGGTGTGGCTGGGATGGACGGTGGGGACAAGGCCAGGGTGTGGCGGGGATGGACGGTGGGGACAAGGCCAGGGTGTGGCTAGGATGGACGGTGGGGACAGGGACAGGGTGTGGCGGGGATGGACGGTGGGGACAGGGACAGGGTGTGGCGGGGATGGACGGTGGGGACAGGGTGTGGCGGGGATGGACGGTGGGGACAAGGCCAGGGTGTGGCGGGGATGGACGGTGGGGATAGGGACAGGGTGTGGCGGGGATGGACGGTGGGGACAGGGACAGGGTGTGGCTGGGATGGACGGTGGGGACAAGGCCAGGGTGTGGCTGGGATGGACGGTGGGGACAAGGCCAGGGTGTGGCGGGGATGGACGGTGGGGACAGGGACAGGGTGTGGCTGGGATGGACGGTGGGGACAAGGCCAGGGTGTGGCGGGGATGGACGGTGGGGACAAGGCCAGGGTGTGGCTGGGATGGACGGTGGGGACAGGGACAGGGTGTGGCGGGGATGGACGGTGGGGACAAGGCCAGGGTGTGGCTGGGATGGACGGTGGGGACAGGGCCAGGGTGTGGCGGGGATGGACGGTGGGGACAGGGACAGGGTGTGGCGGGGATGGACGGTGGGGACAGGGAGTGCGGGGATGGACGGTGGGGACAAGGCCAGGGTGTGGCTGGGATGGACAGTGGGGCCAGGGCCAGGGCCAGGGTGTGGCTGGGATGGACGGTGGGGCCAGGGCCAGGGCCAGGGTGTGGCTGGGATGGACGGTGGGGCCAGGGCCAGGGTGTGGCTGGGATGGACGGTGGGGACAAGGCCAGGGTGTGGCTGGGATGGACGGTGGGGCCAGGGCCAGGGTGCTGTGGTGACACAGGAAAGTGACACTGTTATACATGGTGCCACCGATGGCTTGAACCGTGTATGAACACAGATCCCACGTGGGTGGTCACCTCGCATATGGATGGTCACCCAGGACACCTTGCTGAGATAGCATGGCCAATCATTCCCAAAGAGTTCCCCCCGATACGGGGTCCCCAGGGACAGGAAGTGGAGGACCCAGTGTGCCACGGGGCGCGGGGAGCTGATTTGGTGGGGACACATTCAGAAACGCCAGGCCTGAACTTCCAACAGGTCTCGCAGCGTGCAAACACCAGTGGGGAGCTTGCGTCTGGGTGCTGGACGAGACGGCTCCTGGGAGCTGACGGCTCTGGGTGGCCCTTGCCACCGGGCCCAGCCGGGCACACCGCTAGCCAGGAGGCTCCTCCCCCGTCCCCGACAGCGCCCTGCCCGGCGCATTCCCGCTGACCTGGTTGTAGAGGGCGCAGATGTGCAGTGCCGTGTTCCCCGAGGCGTTCTGGGCGCTCATGTCGGCCCCGTAGAAGAGCAGATGTTCCAGGTGCTGCACGTGCCCGTACCTGCAGGCCTGGAACCCCCCGAATCATGCAGTGAGCAGGAACCCCCTGGCTGGGCACCACACCGCCGGGCACCACACCCCCCGGGCACCACACCAGCACTGGCCACACCCACTGTCTGCCATGCCCACCACCTGCGATCACAGGCCACACCCCCAGGCACGCCCACCAGCACTGGCCACACCCACGGTCAGGCCACACCCCCCATCATCCCACCCCGTGCACAGCTGCCCGCCGGGGAGCAAGGGGCAGTGTGCACATTTCCAGCTGAGGGCTGGGGCGAAGGCCCCTCAGGGCAGGTTTGGGGGGCTGCACTCAGCTGTTCAACAGGGGCTCTGAGCATGAGCCCCAGAGTCCAGGAGACCAGCCCAGCCCTCAGAGCATGCAGGAGGGGCAGCCTGTAGCGAGACCCTCTGCTCGTTCAAGGCCTCCCAGGGTAGCAGGTGTGTGGTACAGGCCCCTCCGGTGTCCTGGCCCCAACCTGACCCTCGTCACATTAGCCTGCCCTGAGCCTCCCGCACACTTCCTCGCCTGTCGGCAGAACCACGGCCCCTGGCAGGATCACGCGGGACCAGGTCCCACGGCCAGAGGAGGTCACCACAGCACAGGCCCCACACATGGACATGCTGGACTGCCCACGGTGAGGGAGCCATGAGAAGACGTGGACAGTCCCACCCCGAGTTCCTGCAGGAGCCTCCTGGGGACGGCGTGGGTCCTTGGCACCCACGTGGGAGACCCAGATGGAGTTCCTGGCTCGTGGCTTGCTGAGGTCATTTGGGAAGTGACCCACTAGATGGAATCTCTCTCTGCCTCTTCCTCTCTGTCACTCTGCTTCTCAAATAGATACATCAATGATTTAAAAAAAAAATCTAAGACACAAAAAAATTAGAATGGTAATGGTAACAGCCTGCAGTATGTGGATTGAGACCCGTCCGTGGGCACAGCAAACAGGAGGGTACAAGGCTTCAAGACGGGGGGCCAGGATGACTGTACCCCACTCTCCTCCAGCAAACCTAGGCTTCAGGGGCCAGCGTGGGGTCACATGTCTCACCGGGGTCAAGTATGGCCAAGGCCAAGGAGGCTGTGGGCCAGTGCTGGAGCAGGTGTGTGGCAAGCACATGCTTGGGGCCTTCTGCTGGCTCCAGCCCTTCCTGTGCCCCTGCCCGGCAGCTGACCTCCTGACCCATCCGCAGCCTGAACACCCTCTGTCCTGGGGAGACAGCTGGCATCCCGACCCACCCCGCGGCCGGGACGCCCTCTGTCCTGGGGAGACAGCTGGCATCCCAACCCACCCCGCGGCCTGTCCTGCGGAGACAGCTGGCATCCTGACCCACCCCCGGCCTGGACACCTTCTGTTCTGGGGTGAGGGCCATCCTGGCACAGCTCACAACACTCGGAACGGAGCCACTCTGCACCTGCCCCGAGCAGCTGGGAGTAGAAGCCTTGGCTCACACCCTCCCTTGCCACCTGCTGGGCACAGGGGCATGGGCAGCTGGGGTTGGAGGACAGAGTGGTCCCCGCTCTGACGGGCGAGCTGTGGATTGCGGCCACTGGGAGACACCCCAAGGGGACCCCCGCTAGCCAAACACAGACTCCAAACCCAGGCAACATAACCACCTTCCAGGCCCGGGCTGTGGGTGCAGGCGCCACCCGCAGCTGCCGTTTCCGGGGCTCCTGGCCTGGATTTGGAAACTGCTCCCGGACAGGTTCTGGGTTCCCCAACCTCCTGGCTGGTCACAAGCCAGCCACCCACACTGCACTGCCACCTGCTAGGCACTCCTGCTAAAGCTACAAGCCAGCATCAGGGCAAGGAGCAGGGTGTCCCGACTCAGGCCCCAGGAGAGGCCCCAGAGCAGCCCCTCGCTCGCTCTGTGCTATGGGTCACCCTGCAGTCCAGTGCCCAAGGCTGACCTGGCGGTGAGGGGCAGCCCCAGGCACTCAGGAAACACCCAGTGCAGGCTCCAGGAGGGGACTCTCCTGCTAAGACAGAAAAGTGCTCTTCCGACATCCGCCTGCAGAGGGCAGGCAGGACCTGGATCTGAAACAGCCAGGGAGCCACAGGGGGCTGGGAGAGGGGCCAGGCCCCCAAGCACCAGACACCATCCTGGCCGGGGGTGAGGAAGGCTCTGAGCCTGTGTCCCGGCAGACACACCCAAGGACACACAGACGGGGCCCCGCTTGGCCGGGTCAACGCAGGTCACTTGGGAAGGGCCGGCCTTGTCCACCTTCCCTGCCAGGCCTGAGCCCATGCCCACCTCGCAGCAGTGCCAGCGTCCCTCCAGGGGCCTCCACAGGGATGGAGGAGGGGGAGCCCAGAGCGGCAGACGACAGCCCCTCAGCAGTTCCTTTGAGTCCTCCTACAAGCTGCTGGCCTTCGATCAGCCAAGTGTGCTCTTAAAATGGAGCTCCTGGCACCTGCTGGTGCTATGCAGGGCATGGGGGCAGGGCAGGGGGAGCCCAGAGGGCTGCTCAGGTCACCGCCCTGCATCCCTGGAGGCCCCGTGCCCCATGCCGTACCTGGTGCACCTCGTGCCAGCCATTCTCGTCCTTGCAGCACACGCTGGCATGCTCATGCAGCAGAAGCTCGCAGCAGTAGGGGTCGCCGCCCACGATGGCCGTGTGGTACAGGGGCGTGAGGCCATAGCTGTCCTTGTAGTCGGGGGAGGCCCCGAGCTCCAACAGCGTCTAGCAAGAAATACAAAGCTACAGCCCAGGGTCTCGCGATGCCTTGGGGACCAAGTGAGATGAACGGGGAGGAAGCTGGGGGGCACTAGGCTGCAGGGAAGGGGGCTCCCCCGTTAGAGACACCCCAACTTCGCACAGCAATGTTCCCAGCCCCAGGTGTGTAGAGCGGTACTGAGACCGGTCCTGACCTGGCAGGCTTGGGGGAGCCACAGCGGACAGAGCCCAGACACAAACCCCACACGGCCCGGCACACCCGGCTCAGGACCCCACCCAGGCTCCTGAGTAGGAGCAGGCAGCATGCCATGTCCCCTGGGAGGAGGGGCTGACACCAGAGGGGTCCCGGACTGACCTTGAGGGCCACAGCGTTGCGGCAGCGAGCAGCGCGGTGCAGGGCGGTCATTCCGTCCTTGGCGCGGAAGTCCAGGTGCGCCCCGCCGTTCCTCAGAGCCTTGATGACCTCAGTGGGGTCGTCCAGCTGAGCAGCAAGGGTCAGCGGGGTCTCTGAGGGATCCCCAAGCAGGCTCGGTTAGAGCCCACAGTCGGGGAGCCGACTCCCTCCTGCAGTCAACCCTGTGCCCAGGTGGGGACCTGAGCTCAAGAGGTCTGTGCCGTCCGCCAGGGCAGCTCGAGGGGCCACGCAGCGGAGGGGGTGCCCACCCTGGGCCAGAGGACCCCCAAGGACAATAAGGATTTCTCCCTGCATGCAGCACAGGACTCGGAGGGCCCAAAGCAGGTCACCAGATGGCCCTGTGCTGTGGTCACAGCTGGTGACCTTGGCCCATCCTGAAGGGCAAAACCACTGGCTCCATGCCCCACCTGCCACTGAGCCCCGCCCGCTGCACCTGCTGAGCGTGTCCCAAGTAACACTGAGGAACCACGAGGGCGGAGCCACCTCGAAGGACCCACACAGCCTTTGCAAGGTTCTAGAAGGTTCTAGAAGCTCCTCTCTGGCCAGGACCCACCCTGGACGAGACAGAGCCCTCACCAGACCACCTCCAGCTTAGACAGCAAATCTGCAAAGAGCATGTCCAAGGGCTCTCTCCCCAGGGGCGCTGAAAGAAGCACCCCAAGAGGACGTGGGGCAGATGGCAAGGGGCCACAGTTCTGCCAGTTGTCCCACATGCACGAATGAGCCACCCAAGCCACTCGCAGCCACACAGGAACTGGCACCCTAACTCCAAGTATTCCTCCATGGCAGCCTGCTGGTTCCGTGGCTGCCTGCTGGTGTGTCTTTGCTGTTAAAAGCTCCAGAGGAGCTAGTGTTGTGGTGCTGTAAACTAAGTTGCTGATGCCTGCGGCATCCCCTGTGAGCACTTACAACCCAATTCTCTGCTAACACGCCTGCAAACGCAGCAGGGACGACCCAAGGCTTGGGCCCCTGCACCCACGCGGGAGACCTAGAGGAGGCTCCTGGCTCCTGGCTGCTGCAGCCACGTGGGGCTCGACTCAGTGGGCGGGAAGACAGCTCTGACTTTGACATTCAAATACATAAAAATTTTTTGAAACATATTGGTCCCGCAACACGTCTAACCTCTGAAATGGGCCCGTCTTCCTCCACCTGAGCCACGCATGGGGGGAGAAGCACCACATTTTGGAAGTGGCTGGATGTGCTCAGACAGCCACAATGGGCAGGGGTGAGAATGCAGCCTGCAGCACAGAGCAGGGGAGCAGGCGGCGTCTTCTGTGTGGACTCTCTGGAGGCAGGGAGGAGGCGGGTGAGTGCGAGCCGAGGACCGCCACTGTGGCACCTGAGCGTGACGCGGAGAGCTCAGCCACTGCCCACCACTGCGTGAGACCCGCCCTGGGAGAAGGCCGGCGGCTCCAGCAGGGCTGCCAACCAAACGGCCGCTTAGCGCAGCACACGGTGAGCGGAGAGAATGGCACGGGTGCTGGATCGCGCGTGTGTTGTTGCGTGGGAGACCTGGAAGAAGCTCCTGGCTCCTGGCTTCAGATGGGCTCAGCTCCAACTGTTGCAGCCACTTGGGGAGCAAATTAGTGGATGGAAGATCTTTCTCTCTGTCTTTCCTCTCTGTAAATCTGCCTTTCCAATTAAAAAATAACTTTAAAAAAGGTAAACACAGATTATATGACTAGTGACCCTAATGTAGATTCAAAACATTGTTACAAAAATAACTCAGAAAAACAATGCCAAGGTCATCAGACTGATACAGCAAGGAACGCTGGGAACAGCGGCAGAGCCCCAGGGCTTGGGGTGTCACACGGGGACCTGGAAGAATCCCTGCACGGAACACGGAACACGCAGGCCTTTGGGGAGAGCAGGATGACGGAGCTCACGTTAGCTCCTCAAGGATGCTCTGCCCCCGCGGCACTGGGGGCTCGGGCGGGGTCAGGAGGCGGGGTCAGGAGGCGGGGTCAGGGAGGTGGGGTCAGGAGGCGGGGTCAGGGGCGGGGTCAGGGAGGTGGGGTCAGGAGACGGGGCCAGGGGTGGGGTCAGGAGGCGGGGTCAGGAGGCGGGCCAGGGAGGTGGGGTCAGGAGGCGGGTCAGGGAGGTGGGGTCAGGAGGCGGGTCAGGGAGGTGGGGTCAGGAGGCGGGTCAGGAGGCGGGTCAGGGAGGTGGGCCAGGGAGGTGGGGTCAGGAGGCGGGGTCAGGAGGCGGGGTCAGGAGGCGGGTCAGGGAGGTGGGGTCAGGAGGCGGGTCAGGGAGGTGGGGCCAGGAGGCGGGGTCAGGAGGCGGGCCAGGGAGGTGGGGTCAGGAGGCGGGGTCAGGGAGGGGTCAGGAGGCGGGGCCGGGGGTGGGGTCAGGAGGCAGGTCAGGGAGGCAGGGTCAGGGGCGGGGTCAGGAGGCGGGGCCAGGAGGCGGGGTCAGGAGGCGGGGCCAGGGAGGTGGGGTCAGGAGGCGGGGTCAGGAGGCGGGCCAGGGAGGTGGGGTCAGGAGGCGGGGTCGGGGTCAGGAGGCGGGGTCGGGGTCAGGAGGCGGGTCAGGAGGCGGGCACACAGCACCTTCCAGGACGGGACGCCACCATGTGGAAGGCTGCGAGCGAGGACGCCGGCCACCACGCCTCTGTCCAGACCCACGGACCGTGAGACGGAGGGGTGAGCCCCGGGGAACCAGGATCGACCAGTGACAGCGTGGCCTGCCGCTCTGACGGCCACGCAGGCGGCAAGGGCACAAGTCCGCGGCCAGTGCCCGACACGGAGCGGGGTCAGACATGGAGCAGCCACAGGACGGCGGCATGTCAGGCCGTGGCACCACCGGCCCTGCCACCGCGGGAGCCCCGTCTGCACTGCCAGGCTGGCCGCCCTGCCACCGGCTCTGCACTGCCAGGCTGGCCCTGCTGGCCGCCTTTGCTCTCCCCTCTCTCCCACCTCATCCTCCTCGAGGCCGTTCTCCCGCCCCTCACACCACAAACAAGAAAGGCTGGGATGACTGGCTGCTTCCTTAGGCACTGCGCCGCCCAGCCGGAAGCAGTCGTGCGGTGGCCAAGGGGACAGTCCGCAGGAGACTGGCGCCTCCACTCCCCCTGACAGTTGGAGATTGAAGAGGTGCCACAGGCCCCCACATTCTGAGCACTGCACTTCCCAGAAAATTCGGTACAGTGGCAGCCAGACCTGGACCATGCATCCCAGCGCGCCCCTCCAGGCTCAGAATCCTCCTTAATTGGGCCACGCGGGAGCTGGGCAAGGGCCCCTGGGAAGCCAGGAACGGTGTGGATACAGGCGAGGGACGCGTCACAGGCGCTCTGCCTCCCTCCTGCAGCCATGCTGGCCCTCCCGGGCACTGGACAGGACGTGGCTGCGCCTGGGAAGGCCACCTGTCTCAGCCCAGGGTTCCAGCCACAGTGTGGGAGGCGGGGACGACGTCCTGGGGGAGTCCTTAGTTCACCAGCCTACACTGCCTGCATCAGCACGGGCGTCCACCTCCCACTGACCGGCCCTTCCCCAGGGAGTCCCCCTGCCTGTCAGTCACTGCTCTCGGCTCCTCCCCCATGTGAGAGCGGCCAGCTTGGCGCCCAACTACAGGATGGGGGGCACGCGGCATCAGGGACGAGAGAACGCGAGCCAGCTCTGCTGTCCACGGGGTACTGCCCAGAGCTCCAGATGCGGCCCTGCCCTGGACGGACGGGACCCCACCCAGGGGTCACAGCAGGCGGTGTGGGGAGCCAGGGAGGAGGGCGGACACTGACTGCTCCGGCGGCTCAGGACGCCCCTGGACACTCAGGCAGAGGTCGGGGTCACAGCCTGTACCCCTGCTGCAGGAGGAGGAGGAGGGGGAGGAGGAGGGGGAGGAGGAGGAGGGAGGAGAGGGGAGGAGGGAGAAGAGGGGAGGAGGGAGAAGAGGGGAGGAGGGAAGAGAGGGAGGAGGGAGGAGAGGGGAGGAGGGAGGAGAGGGGAGGAGGGAGGAGAGGGAGGAGGGAGGGGAGGGAAGGAGGGAGGAGAGGGGAGGAGGGAGGAGAGGGGAGGAGGGAAGAGGGGGAGGAGGGAGGAGAGGGGAGGAGGGAAGAGAGGGGAGGAGGAGAGGGGAGGAGGGAGGAGAGGGGAGGAGGGAGGAGAGGGGAGGAGGGAGGAGGGGGAGGAGGGAGGAGAGGGGAGGAGGGAAGAGAGGGGAGGAGGGAAGAGAGGGAGGAGGGAGGAGAGGGGAGGAGGGAAGAGAGGGAGGAGGGAGGAGAGGGGAGGAGGGAGGAGAGGGGAGGAGGGAAGAGAGGGGAGGAGGAGAGGGGAGGAGGGAGGAGAGGGGAGGAGGGAAGAGAGGGGAGGAGGAGAGGGGAGGGGGGAGGAGAGGGGAGGAGGGAGGAGAGGGGAGGAGGGAAGAGAGGGGAGGAGGGAGAGGGGAGGAGGGAGGAGAGGGGAGGAGGGAGGAGAGGGGAGGAGGAGAGGGGAGGAGGGAGGAGAGGGGAGGAGGGAAGAGAGGGGAGGAGGAGAGTGGAGGAGGGAGGAGAGTGGAGGAGGGAGAAGAGGGGAGGAGGGAGAAGAGGGGAGGAGGGAGGAGAGGGGAGGAGGGAGGAGAGGGGAGGAGGGAGGAGAGGGGAGGAGGAGAGGGGAGGAGGGAGAAGAGGGGAGGAGGGAAGAGAGGGGAGGAGGAGAGGGGAGGAGGGAGGAGAGGGGAGGAGGGAGGAGAGGGGAGGAGGGAAGAGAGGGGAGGAGGGAGGAGAGGGGAGGAGGGAGGAGAGGGGAGGAGGAGAGGGGAGGAGGGAGGAGAGGGGAGGAGGGAAGAGAGGGGAGGAGGAGAGTGGAGGAGGGAGGAGAGTGGAGGAGGGAGAAGAGGGGAGGAGGGAGAAGAGGGGAGGAGGGAGAAGAGGGGAGGAGGGAGGAGAGGGGAGGAGGGAGGAGAGGGGAGGAGGGAGGAGAGGGGAGGAGGAGAGGGGAGGAGGGAGAAGAGGGGAGGAGGGAAGAGAGGGGAGGAGGAGAGGGGAGGAGGGAGGAGAGGGGAGGAGGGAGGAGAGGGGAGGAGGGAGGAGAGGGGAGGAGGGAGGAGAGGGGAGGAGGGAAGAGAGGGGAGGAGGGAGGAGAGGGGAGGAGGGAGGAGAGGGGAGGAGGGAGGAGAGGGGAGGAGGGAGGAGAGGGGAGGAGGGAGGAGAGGGGAGGAGGGAGGAGAGGGGAGGAGGGCCCTGCTTGGCAGAGAGCACAACAGAACGAGCCAGCTTCCAGGCATACCACCCCCCGGAGCTAGTTCAACAGCAGTTCCACAAACTGAGCGTCAAGGACAGGCTCTGCCAAGACTCTCACCTCGCTGGGTCCCTGGAGGGCTGGATGCCGAGCCAAGGCCGCCGGGCACCCCGTGCATCTGCCTGCCTCAGGCATGCACAGCCCAGGGACACGTACAGGATCCCGCGCTGGGACTCTGCGGGGAGGGGCCGGGAAGGGGGCGGCTTCCATCTCTCCAGCCAAGGCGTGGGGATGTGGTCCTGGAAGCAGGTGGCCTTGGCATGCAAGGACCAGCAGGCTCTGCCTTCCCTAGGCCCCGGGCTGCCCAGGCACCAGCTCTGCCGGTGACCCCGACCGGGAGCGTGGGAAGGTTAGGGCTCAGGTTTTCCTCTCGGTGGGTGGGGCTGAGGCCCCCTTGGGCCTCACCCGTGCAGCTAAGCTGTCCTAGCTGCCATCAGCAGCCAACCCCACGCCCTGCCAGCCGGTCTCCCACCACTCATGGCGAACCTTCAACACACAGCACAGTGAGGCCAATGGCGGGGTGAGCACCCCAGCAGCATCCCTGTCCGGCACTGGGCGCCAGCAGGGTCCTCCACCAAACAAGAGGAGTGTACACTGAGCAACTCAAAGCACCCCGTGGGGTGGCCTCAGCAGCTGTGCCCACCAGGGCCCCCTCGGCTGCTCTCCCCCACACTGGGCAACATTGAGACAGCTCTGGTCCTCAACCTGGGGCTGCTATTGCCATGGAGGGAAGCCCGCAGGGGCCACTCACTGCCGACGCCACACAGGCCGGCTCCCACAGCACAGGACAGAGCAGGGCGGGGGCCTTGCCTGGGCAGTGTCAAAGGTCTCCGAGGTGTCAGCCGCCAGGCGTCCAGCAATGAATGAGGCGCTCGGGGCACGAGCTGCCTCAGCAAGTGCATGCCTGCTGGGTGCTGCACCCGGGCCCAGAGCACCCTGCCTGGGGCTGGTACCCGACAACTCCACACACACAGATCAGCTGCCTCTCCAACTACGATGCCCCATGCACCTGCTGTGGGTGCTGGGAAGAGCGGCAGCTCTGGAGGGATGGCATATGTACACACGCCAGGCTCACCGGGCCAAGCAGGTGCCACGGCTGCCGGCAGCACCCCCACACAGGGAGGTGTGTGGAGGTCCCCACCCCTGCCTTCTCCCAGGAGCCTACCTCCGGTCTCCAGGTCATGGAAGTTGGGATCCAGGCCTCGGTCCAGCATCTTGGCAATCTTCTCCACCAATCGGTGCTGGACATGATCCATGAACTTCTTCAGATTGGTCTAAACACAGACAAGTAAGTTGTCACAGGCTAAGGCAAGCTGACCTGGACTCACCCTTGACCAGAGACAGGGAGGAAGCGGGGCCCTGCCAGCCCCAGGGGGGGCACTAAATAGCCTCATTGTGCATGTGGGACCCTGGGGCCAAGCGTAGGGTCACCTGGTGGCCACTGTCTCTCTCAGCCTGCCAAGCGTGGGGTCACCTGGTGGCCGCTGTCTCTGCCTGCCAAGTGTGGGGTCACCTGGTGGCCGCTGTCTCTCTCAGCCTGCCAAGCGTGGGGTCACCTGGTGGCCGCTGTCTCTCTCAGCCTTTGCCAATCCCTCAGCACTCACTGACCTCATTCCCTGGGCTCAGCATTGGTGTCTCTGCAAAAGGCATGTGTCCAACAACGCCGGACACGACTGCACGCAGAACCAGGGCTTGGGAAGGGTGCGGATCTTCACACCCAGAGCCAGCAAGACACCGTCCCTGAACCCCAGAGCTGGCCACCAGGTGCCTGGTCCACGGCCACCTGAGACTTCCCGGGCTGCGGGGGCATCCAAGGCATGCCCCTCAGAGCTGTGCCCTCAGCCCAGTCCTCCTACCCCGCCCAGCGCCACCATGCCCCAGGAGCCGCCGCCATGGGTCAGCCCTGGCACGAGGGGACTGGCCACGTCCCCACGTACCTTGGACCGGAGCTTGGCCAGCTGCTTCTCGTCGAGGCTGGACTTGTACACCCGCTTCTTGTACCGAAACTGCACAGACAGAAAGAAACACACACCCTGCAGACTCCGCGTGGCGCCCATGGGAACGCCGCCGCTTGTCCGTGAGACCGACACACGCTGGCAGGAGGGGACAGGCTTCGGAGCCTGAGGGTCCCGGTGCCTGGCCACTGGAAGACGAGGGCGCAGGACCCCAGCTCTGCCTGCTGCCCTTCCAGCCACGCCTCACCCTGGGAGCGCCAGGCAGGACGGTGGCCCGAGGAGCAGAATGGTGGCCAGGGTCAACAGGGACTCCATGACAGTGAACCACATGGGTGGGCAGTGCATGCCGAGCCCCCAGGCCACCCCAACAGGCCATGACCCACACTCTCCGACTTCAGGGTTACACGTCGGAGGCCCACTTGTCCTGGTCTTCTCCCAGGGTTACCATGGCAACAGTGAAGGCAGGAACGGCCTGGCACTCTCCCTATCTCCGGCCCACGGCCCCCCGGGAGCAGCAAAAGGCCCTTGGGATGAGAACAGGCTGTCGGCGCAAGCGGCACGCCTGGAGAGCCCCAGCCCATCGCAGGCCTGCAGGGATGAGCTTCCGTGGTCCCCCAGGGCATACCCACTCCACAGCTGAGCCAGCCGAGGCCAGCAGATGAACTGCTCCACTGCCAGTGGCACCGGGAGCCCCTCCCCCGGCCCAGCACCTGTTCCCCGTGAGCGGTGTTGACCCCCCAGGTCCCCGCAGGTGCGTGACATGCGGGTGCCTTGGTTCACACTGCAGGGTCAGCCCCCGCCTCTGAGAAGACCGGAGAGCCCTGGGGCCTGCCGGAGCGTGTGCCAGCTGCCACGCTGCCAGCACAGCCTCTCCTGGCTGGCAAAAACCCATGGGGACAGCGTCCCTGCCCGGCAGCAGTGTGGCCCAGGACCGTGGATAAGCACCTGCTACACAGGGTATGAACCTGCAAGTGAACTTCCTGTGAGCAGCCGCACAATGAGAGCGACCCCAGGGTGAGGGACTGGCCACAGCAGCTCCAGGGGCCCCCAGCCGCCGTGGGGTGCCGGCCACCCTGCTGCCCGAGGGCAGGCCGAGTGTCCCCTGGTCATCACCGGGGGCCCCTGCATGCCTCCCACTGGCCAAGGAGGTGGAGCGGACTCCCCTCTGGGTTCCCAGATTCACAAGGCAGGTGGGAGCGCAGCAGGCGGTGTGCAGGTCATCACAGGACAACCCCACCATGACAAGCAACGTTGACAAACACACCTGTGTGTGGGGGTGTACCCCAATTCCTCAGGGACAGCTCTCCCCCTGTGCCCCGCCCCCTGACAGCCCTCACCCTGTGCCCCTCAAATCAGTGACCCCTGGGTGGTGCGTGGGGCACCGTGGATTCAGGGTCAAGCCTCTCCAGGGACCCGAGGCTGGTCCGGCGTCTGACAAGAGGTGCACCGAGGGTCTGAGCTCAGCTGACATTCTCTCCAAGCAGCCGCTGTCAGGACAGCCGCAGCCCATTAGAGCTGGGGTCTAGCGAGCCAGGCAGGGGGCTGGCAGGGGACATAGCACGTTCCATGTCAGGAGGCCAGGCAGCAAAGCTGGCAGTGCCCACAGGCGCATGCGAGACGGGCCCTGCTGGCCTAAGCTGAGATCAGACCAGCGGATCAGACCAAGGTCCTGCTGAGGCTGCTCCAAGAACCTCACGAGAAACGGACTGCCAAAAAGGCCTCTGGGGGCGCAAAACTGGAAGCCACGCGTGGCTTTGTCACACCACAGGATCACCACCAAGGCTGTACAAAGACTACGCCCATTTCCAAGGGCTGCTTCAAAGCCAACACATCCTCTCGATGCCGCTTCCCGCAAGGTTTGGGAAGTGCTCCCACGTCGGTGACACAACGGGGGCAGTCACAAGACAGCCCCTGTTCAAGTCAAACCCAAAACCACAACCCCAGGCACGGCACGGGGGGCGTGTGGTGACACCCGGCTCCCAGGCACAGCACGGCACGGGGGGGCATGTGACGACGCCAGGCTCCCAGGCACGGCACGGCACGGGGTGTGTGTGGCAACGCCAGGCTCCCAGGCACAGCACGGCACGGGGGACGTGTGACAACGCCAGGCTCCCAGGCACGGCACGGCACAGGGGGCGTGTGATGACGCCCGGCTCCCAGGCACGGCACGGCATGGGGGACGTGTGGCAATGCCCGGCTCCCTGGTATAGCATGGCACAGGGGACGTGTGGCACCTTCTGGCCCCCAGGCACAGCACGGCACGGGGGGCGTGTGGCGATGCCCGGCTTCCAGGCACAGCATCAGAGAGGGGGCAGGGAAGTACCTCCAGCGAGGGGACGCCCGCGCCTGTGGGCTGCGGGTACTCGCGCAGGAGCCGCTCCTCGTCCAGGAACTTGCCGTCACGCCCGCCGCTGGCCGGCTGGAACAGCCCGTAGTTGAGTACATCCTTCAGGCTCTGGGTCAGGGTGCACAGGATGCGCTGCTTGGCCACCCACACGGTGGCGTCCGGGTCGAAGCGGATACATTTCTGCAAGGAGGGACAAGGACAGCTGCCCAGGGAGGCCGCCCGAGGCCACTTCCCCTCCCCGACATGGCAGCCAGGGCGTCAGCGGCTGGGGCAGAGACAGTCCGGGGCTGAGGACCCTGGTCCGCCCACAGCCTCGTGCTAACTCACTTCTATTTCAAAGGTCGAACCATGGAGAACAGGGCCTCCAGCCTAGGCCTGGGGCCGGGCGATGACAGGGCACACAGCCCGAGGGGTTCCGCTAGTCTGAAGGCCCGACCGTGACAGGACACATCTGTGCGGACGGCCAGCCAAGTCACACGGAGGGGGACTCAGGGGACCTGTGGCCACAGGGCCATGTGTCAGCCAGGACCCATCAGCGGCCTCTGACGGCACCCAACGCACCTTCAACCTGCCTGTTTGCACGTTGAAAAATGGCCAACATCAAGGTCAAACACAATTGCACTCGCATCGCTTCTGCATGCGGCCGTTCAAAAGACATCAGATGGAAGCCCAGGTGGCCAACACCCAAACGCGGCCACGGACAACCACAGGAAGCCTCCACGGGGCTCCCCACGGGACAGGGAGGCACTGGGTGACCCCGACCCACAAGGCTGACCCCAAGGAAGCAGAAGTTGGAGCATTAGGTTGGGTCTCTCTCCTGGGCTGTGAATTCAGCATTCCAAACAGAACAATTTATATATATACTTTTTTTTTTTTTTTTAAATAATAAAGGCAGAGTGATGACGAGACAGAGAGAGAAAGAGAATGATCTTCCATCGCCAAGGCGGGAACTTCCTCCCAGTACACTTTCTGCTTGTCCAGGGCCCACGGCAGGGAGCAGCTCCACAGTGGAGCAGCCAGGACTAGAACCGGCGCCCTGATGGGATGCCTGTACTAAGGTCCACAGCTCCACCCAGGCTGCCCCAGTGGCTTTTGAAAATAAAGCCTCACACAGCCCTCAGACCACCACGCCACGCGAGGCGACAAGCGCCGATCCAATCAAGCCCTCTTGCGCCGGGCGTCAAGCGCGGCCTGAGAACATTTTCCTGATTTAAACGCCTGACGACTCCTGCTGTAAAGTGTGCGACATTCCCATAACGACAGTGGGGCCAGCTGCTCGGCATGTGGCAGAGAAGGGCGGGAAGAGGGGGCAGTCATCTCTGACCTTAACAACCAACTCAGGAGGCCTCAGAGGACACGGAGTTCCCCACCTCCTCCCAGAGTGGACCACACGGCAACCACGGTCACGGTCATTCAGGACAGAGGCCGAAGGAGCTGCGTGCTCCTGTGACGTGTGAGGACAGATGAGATGGGATGGGATGCAGGCGGGCAGCTGTGCAGAGGGACGGAACGAAGGCAGGAAGGGAGGCTGGGTGCCTGTCCACAGAGGCAATGGGATGCAGGCGGGCAGCTGTGCAGAGGGACGGAGCGAAGGCAGGAAGGGAGGCTGGGGTGCCTGTCCACAGAGGCAAACCTGAAGGCACCACATTACAAATGGACGTCTCACACGTTAACAGGTGTGTGCTCCGAAGAGAAACACACTGAATCCAGCACAGGATGTGCCTCCATCACACCCGGCCTGCGAGAGGCAGCTGGGAGGACTCAGACCTCAGCCACACTTCAGGCCCACAACTCCCATGGGAGGACACGCACTGCTGGCTATGGGGTCCTCTGGGCACGCCCATGGTCGTCATCTTGCCTAAATGACAAGTGGGTTACCAAATCAGAGCAGCCTTCCTGGTTGTCCCCTGCCAAGTCCTCTACGACGACCCTCGCTGCTGGGTGGGGGCGATTCCTCCACCCCTGCTTCACTGAGTCGGGGCTGGGTGCTGGCCCGTGCACAGAGGGGGAGCTGGCCCGTGCACACAGGGGGGCTCTGGCCGTGCACACAGGGGGGCTCTGGCCGTGCACACAGGGGTGCTGGCCCATGGACACAGGGGGGCACTGGCCCGTGCACACAGTGGGACTCTGGCCTGTGCACACAGGGGGAGCTGGCCTGTGCACACAGGGGGCTCTGGCCCACCTGACAGACAGCAGCCGGGTCCTGCCACCCAGCCCACATAGCAAGGACGTGGAATGCTGAGCACAGGCAAAGCCATGGGAGAGTCAGGGCACCAGGGCCAGGGAGAGGGGCAGGGGAAGTGGCAGTGATGGGTGCGGGGCTGCCTCGGGAAGCAACAGCATGTGCAATCCATGAGGACAGCAGCAGTGGGGGCACTCAGCCGGCAGGCCTGGACACCGTCCACACAGTGGACATATTGTCCACAGCCATGTAGGGGCTCGGAACTAGGGGGATGGCGCCCACATCAAGGGAGGCCCCCAGTCATTCAGCGCAACGGCTCCACCCAGACGGACCTGCCAGAAGGCGAGAGGTGGCCCTGTGACAATACCACAGGAGGTCCCGACAGGCACTGCCTGCGGATGACCCGCCTGACCGTGAAGCCGCACTGCCACTCCCCACGACCTGCGGCATGCGGGGGGTGACTACAGGGCAGCGGCCTGGACACTTCTCTGGAGAACGAGAAAGGGGGAGCCCAAGTGCTTTCAGCCCAGACACGAGACACGCCCGAGGGCAGACACGGACACCACACATCCCACGCGTGCACCGGAACCCCTGAGACACGCCTTTAGAACAGAAAACCAGCTCAAAGAGGCCAGACCTAACGTCGCGCCTCGAGCAACCCCGTTCACCTGAAACATGCAGCTGTCAACAGGCATGGAGCCTAAGCCCCTACCGCAATGCTGGTGGCACCAGCCAGGGACTCCCCGGAATAGGTGGGGCAGCAGCACCCGGAGCACTGTAACCACAGCTCGGTAACACTCCCAAGAGAAATGGGAGGGCCGGCATGACCGCGAGGACTGGGCCTGCACAGAGAAGGGACCGAGAGTCCACAGGGCCCGGCCCCGATGGAGGAGGCTTGGGCGGAAGGGCCACTGGGACCTCACCAAAGAGCTAACAGGTGATGGTGGAGACCAGAGGTCCTGGCCACTCCCTGGTCAGCAGGAGGGCCAAGGGGGCATCCCGCCTCACGGCGGGGAGTGGGAGGAGGAGGGCAGGAGACTCCAAGCCAGCACTCAGAGGCCAGATGCCTGCACAGCTCCACGGGCTGTCCCAAAGCTGCCTTCCAGAAGCTCACGGCAGCAGAGGTTGATGCTGGAACAGCACATGCTTCTAAAAGGCCACTCTGCAAGGCTGGCACAAGCTCCCGCCAAGAGGACCTGGGGAGACACCTCTACGGGCCTGGAGCCCCCGACTGCCTGCTGCTGGTCTAGGGAGCCGGGGGGCCATCCTTCAGTCCCTCAGGGGCGTGGGGCAGGCAGGAGGCTTGGGAACTGCTCTGCACTGGGAGAAGCAGCCCAGGCAGAGGGAGGGAAGACCTGCCATGGTCACGGCCACAGTGACCGCCCCGCCTGGTGGTTCTGCTCACTCCCCAGCAGGACGGCAGGAACTCATGGCCCATTTCCACAGCAGGGCCGGCTCGCAGGACACTTCCAGGGCAAACAGGTACCTGCCTTGCCCAAGACCTGGCCCGCGGCAGAGCTGGCCCAAGGCGACCACTGGGCCCCTCCACTGTGCTAGAGAACCGGGCACTGGGGGTCAGCAGCCCCAACACCAGAGAACTGTGGGTCTGGTCCCCCAACTCTGGGCCTGGCAAGGATTAACTTGGACTCCGGCTGAGGCCTGGGCCTCAGGGTAGTGGTCACGGCTCCCCTTCGGGAGTAGACCGATGCATGTCCGCCCTGGACCCTCTAGGGGTCCAGTTCCATGTACACCCACAATTTAAGTAGGTCCGGCAGGAGTTGGGGGCCCATGGTGGGGATGGAGGAGGGAAGCCGCTTACGCCTTTACACACAGGGACCCTAGGGTGAGTGTGACCCAAGGAATGGCAATGTGCGCAGACACAGGGCCACCTGCTGGTCACTCCCGAGGCCACAGGACACCAAGACCTATCCCCAAAGGGCCACCCTACAGCCTGCCTTCGCCCCCACCTCCACATCAGGAAAGGGGGCAGGACTGGCCCAGGACTCCCCACACGGACGGGACGGGTGCTCGAGGCCCAGCTGAGCGAAGTGGCCACTCCCCACGCTCCCTCAGCAAGACGGGCCGCAGCTGCCATTGCTCGGCACGCACCAGGTGCTGGGTCACTGTGTGCAGTGGGAGCCAGAGACAGCGCAGGGACAGCACAGGACCGGCAGGGGGGACTGGAAGGCAGGGACTGGGGACAACAATATGGAGCGAGCAAGGGACTGGCCAGGCTTGCCAGGCCTGGGACCATGGCCATCCGGCAGCATGCCAGCCTGAAGGCTGCAGGAGGGGCACGCAGGGCTCCCAGCTCACCGTCTGCTGCAGGTCTGGGATGACCACACGGATGACCAGCGTGCTCGCCTGGCTCTCATCCACGCGTGCCCCGCCCGGCTTCTCCGCCCTGGCCCGGATGGAGTCATAGATGGTCTCCTCCTTGGAGCTGTCCGTCTCGGAGCCCCCAGAGTCATCCGAGAAGCTCTGGGCCATCTCGTCCTCACTGGACGTCGGGCTGCGCGGCATGGCTGTCTCCGGTCTGCACGACAGGGGGGACAGGGAGACAGATGAGCAGAGACACAAACATTCACACAAACCAGGGGCGGCGGCAGCTGGGAGGCGGCAGAGGACGCTGGCATGGGGAGGGGTGGGGTCCCCGGAAGGCCGCAGGAAGCCGGCCCCTCCCGCAAGGCCAAGAGAGGCAACCCCACGGCCTGAGAGCTCTGATCAGCAGCGGGCAGGACCTGCTCCACAGGCTGCCACACAGGGCAGGGGCAGCTTGAAACTTCCCCAGGCGGGAAGAAAGGCTGTGAGACCTCCTTTCCTTTGAGAGCAAAGCCACAGGATGGGAAGAAAGACGGGCAGGCGTGGGGTCAGCTCAGCCACGAGTTCCGGCCGTAATAACCCCCTCTGCTTCAAACACAGAGCGCTGATAGGTACCGTGCAAAAATAGCAGGTGAGGACGGGCCAGCCCCGGATGCGAGACCACCTCCAGGACCAACGCAAGAACAGGCTGAAGCCGGCAGCCCTGAATGCGGGAAGCCACGATGGGCAAGGACCTGGGAGTCCAGCCCAGCCACGCCAGGGGGCTTAATGCTGCCTCGAACCGGGGTGCCAGCCACCTGCAGTCAAGGTGCCACACTGACCCCGTGAGCCCACCTTGACGTAAGATCTGCAGACTACACCAGGGTCATGCAGGCTGCACCAAGGCCACCTGAGCCACTGAGGCCACACAGACCACAGCAAGGCCACATGAGCCACACCCAGGCCACCTGAGCCACTGAGGCCACACAGACCATGGCAGGGCCACATGGGCCACGCCCAGGCCACCTGAGCCATTGAGGCCACACAGACCACAGCTGGGCCACGTGAGCCACGCCCAGGCCACCTGAGCCATTGAGGCCACACAGACCATGCCGGAGCCACGTGAGCCACAGAAACACGCAGTATCTCCTGCAGATGCGGAAGGGACACGGGGTGAGCGCTCACCCTCAGCACACAGAGGCTGCTCGAGCACTCCACACACAGACCACCTCCCCAAGCTGTTAGATGAACAGGGCTGGGCCACGCCCAGGCACCCCCCAACTTGACGCTGGGCATGGGGACCGTGGTGGCATGCAGTAGCACCCAGTCCAGATGGAGGGTGGAAGCAGGTACTGCCCCCCATGGCTGGCAGACAGCTGCTGGACACGGGCACAGAGGTGCTTGGGGCAGGGGAAAGAGAACCCCAAACTTGTCATGACTGCTTTCCAAATGCAGGCAAGCACTGAAAGCACCCCCCAACCAACTTCCTCCCTCAAGCGAACAAAGAGTGGGCAGTGGACGAGCGTCCACCATGGGGCCACGGTGGGTGGGTGGGTGAAAGCAGGGCACAGGGACGAAGGGGCATTCTCCTGGCAGGGCCCCTCAGGGACTCCTGTCACCCTCCTGGCCCTGCAGAAGATGCCAGTTAGGGGGCACTCAAGCCTCTGGTAGCAGACAAGCCGCGGACACAGCCACCGCCTTCCTTGCCCCGGGCACCGCAGGCACCTCCCCTCACATGGCACATACCAAGGGCACCTCAAACTGCCACATGGACCAAGCAGGGGCCACATGTCACTCCAGTCTCTAGCAAGGAAGCTTTCACACCAACATCTGGATTCTACTGTTCTCATGAAACCCACAGCCACCCTGGGCCACCCTGCCCACCTGGCAGTCACGAGCTGGCACTGGGCTATGGCAGCCTGTCAGGGCAGGAGCCACATAGCCCACTAGTCCCCCACCCCATCCCTGCACATGAGGGCAGCCACTAGCCTTTGTGGCCCCCATGTACCACAGCTCACTCTGGACCCAGCTGGCACACCCCCATCAACCCCAGGCCTTGGCAGGTGTTATGGCCATGGCCTTGCATCTGTGGTCAGTGGCTTGGGGCAGCCGGGGGTGCACAGGAAGTCCCCAGGCAGGACACGGGAGGGCTGAGGCCTGCCGCTGCTTGGGGGTTTATCCAGACGGCCAGGCCATGACTTACAGGACACCCTGCCGCATCGCCAAGGGATGAAGTGGGCAGCTGTGCCTTCAGCTGGCACCCAGGGACACCTCAGATGCTAGGGACATGCCAGGCACAACACCTGGGAACTGCAAATACAGCCCCCAGAACCCAACACCTTCTCCCTGCCTCGGGGGAGCACCAGGCAGTGATCACGGTCAGCTGCCCTGAACTCCCCGTAGGTCCCAAAGGCCTACAGAAGACCAAGAGCACGCAGCCCATGGGCACCGCTCAGCAGCACCCACCCTGGAGGGCACACACAGCGCTTAGCATCTAAAGATGGCAAATAAGAGCCCTCCTTTCTTGGGTCCTGCCTTGTGGCTGACAGTAGAGCTGTCATCTGTGACTCTGGCATCCCATACAGGCGCTGGGTCAGGTCCCAGCTGCTCCACTTCTGACCCAGCTCCCTGCAAATGTGCCTGGAGAGACAGCAGAGGACGGCCCCAGTGCACACGTAAGGACCCGGATGGAATTCCACGCTCCTGGCTTCCGCCTAGGCCAGCCCTGAACGCGCCTGGGAGAACAGCAAAGGACGCCCCAGCACTTAGTCGGTACACACATAAGGAGATGGAAGATCTCTCTATCTCTGCCCACAGCCTCTCCCTCTCTCATAAACACCTCCTTTCTGGATCTGACCACTGGGAAGGTACGGTAACCCTGTGCCCAGCCAAGGGCAGGAGGGCCACTTGGCTACGGCCTCAGCGGGCCTGGCCAGGATCACCCCAGCTCCCCCCGACCACCACCATGTTATCCCATCTTCAGAGTAAAACAACGGCTCCCGCAAAATCAGCGTCAGGTGCAAACGCTCCTGGGGAGAGAGGGACAGGAAGCCCACCGGGCACCAGGAGGGCCCAAGCTCAGGTGACAGCCGGCCAGGCCCTCACCCCCACCCGTCCATCGTGCAAGGTCACAAGTGCCGGGACCACGGAGCTGGAGTCGCCCACCTCACACACAGGCCAAGGAGGCCTCTGCCAGGTCCCTAGGCAAGTGTATTTTGCTGGCCGCCTGTCAGGGTCATGATTTCCCAGTGGGCCCTGGGAAAGCGTGGGGGTTGGGCCGGGGGTATTTAAACAGAAATGGCCACAACACGCAAGCACGTGGCCGCTGTGTGCCCTTCTGGTTCGCATCCTGACTCCAGGCCGATGCTGTCCTCTGCCTCCATGTCATGCCTTGACGGACGGCTGCAGGCTGACAGGCGGGGTCAGGGCCAGTTAACCTTGGGGCTCTGAGTGCAAGGACTGGGTCACTGCACCAGGGACAGGACGGAGCGCATAGCAGTGTCACGTGGCCTGCGCAGCCAGGGACAGGACAGGCACGGATGGGGTGGTGTCCACCGCTGGTGGTCGTGGGAACCAGGCAGGGGAGGGGGCTTCCAGGGCAGGGAGCTTCACTCTGCACTGCTGGGCATGACCAGTGCAGCTCAGGGACCCCTCAGGAAAGCCCTCCCTCACCCAACCACCCCTGCGACACCTCCCAGCCCCACAACACCGTGGGAGAAGGGCCAGAGAAAAGACGCATGGACCCGCCCTGCCTCCACCCACAGGACCTCCGAGGGCTCCCGACATGCAGTGCCCCCAGGAGGCAGCTCCAGATGTACCCAAGCCCCACAGGGGTGGGCACCTGTCTGTCCTCATGAGCCTGCAGTAGCCATACGGCATGAGTTAGGCGCCTCGGCGTTTGCGTCCTAAAATGGGTGTGCAAAGGTCTGAGGCGGGCAGCTGGCACAAGCAGGATCCGACGCGGACGACTCAGGCAGCGCCGGCAAGGGCACGCAGGAGCCCCCAGGCTGCCCCCAACCGTCACAGCTCAGGCAGCACCGGCAGGGACAGGCAAGAGCTCCCCCAGACTCACAGAGAGAATGAGAGACAGAGAGGAAGATCCTCCACCCTTTGGCTCATTCTCCAAGTAGCCACAATGGCCAGAGCTGAGCCAATCCAAAGCCAGGAGCCAACAGCCTCCTCCAGGTCTCCCATGCCGGTGCAGGGCCCCAAGGCCCCGGGCCATCCTCACTGCTTTCCCAGGCCACAAGCAGGGAGCTGGAAGGGAAGCGGAGCAGCCGGGACCTGAATCAGCACCCATAAGAAATCCCTGTGCATGCAAAGCAAGGACCTCAGCCACCAGGCTATCACACTGGGCCCGCCCCAACATCCTAAACCTCGTTAAATGTGTGACCCTGTCTCTGGCCACTCATGCCCCTCGCAGAAATGGGAGGCCCAAGCACACAAGGCCGAGTGTCTATGTTACTGCAGTGTGGGATGCCTGATGGAGACATGCCAGTGCCCCCCGCCCCCACCTGCAGCCAGCAAGAACAGTGGCAGAGTAGAGGGTGCTGACCGTGGCCTCCGACCAGCTGGCAGAGCAGGCCAGCTCCAGCCAAGCTATGGCTCCATGTCCCAGGCAGCTCCGATGTGGGCCAGACCACACAGAAAAGCCGCAGAGCTGGTACCGAAGGCTTACGTGGCAGGCCACACACAAGGGACCCGTGTGGCTCCACCACGGCCGCCGGGGCACCCCCTGTGGAGGCCACGGGGTGGTCGTTTGCAGGTGTGTCTAATCCCCAGGAAAAAGAGGCAGAGGACGCACACACCAGGCCGGACCAAAGCAAAGAGAAGGCGGGGAAGGTTCCCTTGTGACCCCTGCAACTGGCTTTTGGGGGGATGTACACAGATAAACACATTTGCTACCAAACCCTATTACGGGAGAACCAGGACGGGAGGGAGGCGGCCGGAGAGGAGGCAAGGCTGGGAGATGAGACCTGGTTCTATCCAGGGTGTCCTGGGGCACGCAGACTCCACAGACGCACCCCCGGGCAGTGGGTCTGAGCACCACCCCCTGGTGGCACCACCCCGTGGCAGCTCTACCCCCTGGCATCTCCACCCCCTGGCATCTCCACCCTGGCAGCACCGCCCCCTGGTGGCTCCACCCCCTGGCAGCACCACCCCATGGCAGCTCCACCCCTTGGCGGCTCCACCCCCTGGCAGCTCCACCCCTGGTGGCTCCA